GGGGTCAAGCAGCATGAATAAGAAATAAGGAGTAATGTCCCAACTCACATTACCCATAAATTATGGTATGTGGATCGGATTTGAATCCGAATCACCAAAATAAACGAAACAATAGATTTATTAATATCATCATAATAATCAATAAAAGTCTCATTCAAGTGATCAGAAGAATTCATACTAAATCTCCTAGAATATTGAAATTTTGATATTTGGAATAGAATTTAATATATTAATTTATTTTGAAAAATTTGTTCTATTTCTTAATTTTAATCAGTATTTTTTCAGGAAAATTATAAATTAATGATGCCTTGGATGGTATGGATTTGGGTTAAAATGATTAGAACTATATTAGTTACATTTATTTCTCTGATAGTTGTACATTCTTCTCATCTTTTCGTAAGTTATTTTTTTAGAATTAAATAATTATTCATTATTAACTAATTATTACTTGTGTAAACGAATTCAAAATATTAAATGTTTTTAAGAATGGTTTCATTATCTTCCAGATTACGGTTCTTCAAAGTATATTAACACTTATCTTCTGTACTACAGGGGTAAGCATTCAACCAACCACTCGTTGCACAAATTCATTACATTATTTCGATGTAACTTTCTCCATAAAAATAGAAAAGTATTTCAAATTATCTTAACTTTGCCTGAATTTATCTAAAATTAATAATTGATAAATTGATAAAGTTGGATCTAAAAATATAATTTTTAAGTTATAGATTATACAACTTTATTAAATTAGTATTATTAATTAATAGTGTCTATTAAATAACCGTTGTACTTTGATTTATATTGTATTCAAGAGGATGATGATATTCTTTAGTGTTATGTATCTAATGACACTAATGGACTGATGGGGATGTGCCAAGGGGGTTGTTTGCCGGGAGGATTTTCAATGGAAAACTGACCCCTATTTAGGTATCAAACACTTGAAAAAAGTCTGGGAAACTTCACGTGGCAAGCCCATTCGTTAGGCGCGAATTGTCAGTGTTCAGTGATTTTATCCATTCAACCACTGATCGTGTTCCGTGTTCTTTGATGAACACAGAAAAAAATGAATGACTTAACAGACGTTTTAATCGATAATTCATTTTCAGTTGTATTTTTTTATTTGCGTCTACAATCACTACATAATTCTAAAAGCGAGAGAACTACTACTAATACCTGAACGAATCTCAACTAATTCTATAGATATATCCAAAGAGAATTCTTATCTTTCTTACGATATCGATGTCTCACACCAAGTTCGTGATACTAAACCAAACATTCCTGAAGATATTTCTGGTGAAAATCATTTGTCTGCTTAGAGTAATTATAATGAAAGATGTAAAAAATATATAATTATTATTATATTGTAATAAATCTAGAAGACATTCAATATAATGTAAAATGTCGATTTNACGAAAGCCGGTGCGTTCAAAAACACATTAAAAAGAAGCTTCTATCATTAGATTCTACTGGTGAGACTATCTCAGAAGATCCTTTCTTCGTTCCTTCTTGCTGTGTCTGTCAATTGGTGCGCAATTTCAAGAGATAAAGTGAACTTTCCGAACTTACTCAACGAATTACAGGAGGACTTGAAAAGAACACGGTTTATATTTTTAATCTAGTGAAATATTACCTAGAATTTTTTTAGGTAGAAGAAGGAAAGCTGTCAAAAATATTAATATAAAAACTGTTTATGACAAGCTGTTCAATGAACAGCTTTTTTACTTTCATTTAACAGAGAGGATTAGAACTGAACAAATGATTGGCATTTATTTACTTTATTATTTAATTAAGAACATTGATTTATTTACATTTATTTACTTTAGAATATTATAATATTCAATTTATTTTATATAAAATCACTATTTACTTGAAGTACCGCAGACTAATTAAAAAATTTAAATAAATAATAAGATCTAAGAAACAAAATACCTCGCATTCTTGCTAATCCGAACTAATTTTGTTCACTCTTCCACTAAGTGTTCAATCTAAAAATAAGTGGATATCATCAATTAGTTTTTAAAAACGTAAAAGTTTTTTGCAAAATTAATGGGTACTGCACACTTTAACATAATATATATGTACCAAATACGATATAAAATTTTTATTTTTAAAATACAGTCAAACGGCGGCCATTTTTTCAGGAATGTTGAGCATATAAATGCATACAAAACCTCCAAGCAACGGCCATGTTTCTGTTAGTCGCCGTTGTTCAGAGATTTGACTGTATATAACCTTTATCTTTTTGAATTCTTCTTCATTTCCTTTTCCTTATAGTCTATAGAACCTTGCTCCCTTTTTACTTTTCCGGCTGTTTATATATAACAGAGGGAAAGTATGGCGATGGTCAAAAAATGACCCCCCCAAGAATTTTACATTTCAGGACTCGGGTGATCTTGAAATGTCGAGAAATGCAAAAAATCCAAGGGTTTATTCTGTATGTATAAATTTAGTGTGTGTGAGCATGGGGAGCGATTCTGTTTGCCCTGTTTGAAGCTTAATAACTCCTGTGCTTTTTCACAAAATTTTCTGAAATTTTTCTGGAAGGTTTCTTTATTACAGGGATTGATGCTCTTAAATTTTGGTGATTAAAGGTCGAGTGGTGGGGAGATAAACGCGGTAGGATGCGACTTAATGACGATTTTACTTGTTATTAGCATTTCCAATGTTTTATAAAACCCACCCATATCCTGAAAATTAAGCTTTTGCCATTTTATAATAGTTAAAAATATAAAAGTTTTTAAAAGAAAATATGATAACAGATGGCGCTACCAAAATTTTAAATATTGCCGGGAAAGTTAAGCAACTCGTTGCTGTATTAATGAGAAATGTAATTTTATTGTATTATTTTTTTAATTTCATTTTTGTTTATTTTAAAATTAAATTATATAATAAAATTTTCGATAAATAAATCGAATGATATTTATTTATGTGTTTCAGGTATCCTGGAAGTTCTTGTTCTTCACAACTTTCATTTCCGTTTGGATACGAAAGCCGGTGCGTTCAAAAACACATTAAAAAGAAGCTTCTATCATTAGATTCTACTGGTGAGACTATCTCAGAAGATCCTTTCTTCGTTCCTTCTTGCTGTGTCTGTCAATTGGTGCGCAATTTCAAGAGATAAAGTGAACTTTCCGAACTTACTCAACGAATTACAGGAGGACTTGAAAAGAACACGGTTTATATTTTTAATCTAGTGAAATATTACCTAGAATTTTTTTAGGTAGAAGAAGGAAAGCTGTCAAAAATATTAATATAAAAACTGTTTATGACAAGCTGTTCAATGAACAGCTTTTTTACTTTCATTTAACAGAGAGGATTAGAACTGAACAAATGATTGGCATTTATTTACTTTATTATTTAATTAAGAACATTGATTTATTTACATTTATTTACTTTAGAATATTATAATATTCAATTTATTTTATATAAAATCACTATTTACTTGAAGTACCGCAGGAAGATTCCAATCTAGAAAAAAATCCATACAGTTAGATAGGGGTTTTTCATAAATTTTTGCCAAAATTACAGAAAATATTCTGAAAAATTGTGTATTATTAATAATAAAAACAAAACACGTGGGAATTATTATGAAATATTTATTATATAACCTGATATAACGATTTTTTTCTTGAAAAATTTCGATAATTCTGAACGCGATAATCGGATATCATGGACATAATGTATGTGAACTTTGACTGTGATGTTTTCTAAATATCACTTCTACATGTAAATATTATATTGATAATTATTTAAAAATTAGTCAAGTTTATTAACATGATTACTGTATAAATTTCATTAAAAATTTGAAGTAAATATATGGAATCTTTACTAATAAATTTCTGATCTAATGTCGTTTCTTACAAGAGTATCTTCAATACTTAAATAATTAGAATAAAACTTCTTTATACTGTAAATTTGCTACTGCCATATGCCATTAATAAGTAACAAAATACACAGTGGTTCGAAACTTAGTTAACAGTAAGTTCTAAGGAAAGCTTAGAACTTAGCCCCATTAATTTTTATATTTCGGATAATTTGTAAAGAAGACTCGCTTCAAGTAGATGTTTTAATGAAATTATTTCTTCAATACCAAAGAATTAAAAAAATATTTTGCAAAAACTTTTGCATTTTTTAATATTATAAATTCTTAGATGATCTTTGTACGAATCTGTAAGTCTTTTTAATTTGAAACTTTCTGCCGATTTTAGTATTTGCAAAAACATTCTTTTTCATCTGTCCATTGTTTATCATTGAAGTTAAGATTCATCTCTGTCAAACATTTTTAATTCTTCCTTTCAATGTAAACAAACCATGTGTTATAAAAAAGTTTTATGTTAGAATAGTTTTTCAAAAAGTTTTAAAGTGCTGAGTGTTACGTTTCTTAACCCATTACATATGGGATAAGGAAACGTAACACTTGAGCGATCTGCCAAGGACTCTTGGAAGGACTTTTATTGGAAACTGGCTTCTATTTAGGTGTTAGACATGTGAAGAAAGTCCAGATAACTCCACATAACCAGCCTGTTGGTTAGGTGCGAACCCGCCACCAACCAGTATTCAGCGATTTTATCCACTGGCTCACCTGGTGGCAAGTGGATAAAATGTAGCACCAATGGGTTTGCAAGATGCTGATTACGAAATATATAACTAATAATTTTCAAGGCATTTTTCACCAGTGACTGTGTGAATAAAACCACTAAACACTGACCCCACCAATGGCCAGGCGGTGTTCGTTTCCTGAACACTGGGAGTTCCGTCGTGGGTTGGCGCCTCTCCAACCGACTGGCCACGTGGAGTTTTCCGTGTTTTCTTCACATTAGTAACACCTAAATAGTAGCCAGATTCCGACAGAACCCCCAACAGATTGCTCACGTGTCGTATTGTCGTAACCAAATAAACCACCATAATTGTGGCACGATTTCTTATGCATTTTTGAAAATAAATTATCACGTAACAAATATCGATAATAAATTTTACAATTCTTGAAATTTCTCAACAAATAATTACAATAAACGGTTATTTTTACTAAGTTTCATTGATTTGTTCTTAGAAAATCATTCCAGAATACTAATTTTTCCTATCTGAATAAGATATTAATAAATATATAAAATGTGTATTCGCGTTTCAAGTTTCCTATGTTTTGATAACAGTGAAGAAGCAACTTGCTACTCAGCGTTTATAATTGGAGTAGGTAACCGTTAATTAATGTTTTCTTTTTATTTTCCGAACAGAAAAATAATATTTTAATGCAAACTATGTGACATTTAACATAATTATATATGACTTTTTAATGACTTTCAGCTTTACTCTGTTGTCATGATCTTGGATTTGGTAACATCCAATAATCTTGCGCTTGTGGAAATATATTCTGAAGATACACGTTAGTAAATTGTTTGTAGAGTTTAAATAGTAATTACATAATTTTAATCTATATTAAATTTGGGAAATGTTTCTAATACAATAACGTTAAATAAATTATATGATTCATAGAGATCGAAGTTCCGAGATAAATACAGAATTATATTCTTTATCAGTAGTAGAATGATGTTAAGAATCGATTTTAGTGTTTGTCAGGTTACATCAATGATATAATGGGTGTTTTCAATGTATAAAGTGGCCTTTTGAAAGTGTACATTCTGCACCAAAATTTTCTGCACTGATTTAATTAACCATGAATTAGCTGACTTCATCTTCTGATTACCGTATTTCTGTTTCGGCATTGTTATTTTAGAAGTTTTGAAGTTTAATGGTAACAATTCGAAGAACTTTCTCATTGTTCGAGAACGAGATAACGATTTAGCTTGATGGAATACGGCAATGCAATACGTGGGCAATTTGACATGTGGAGTGCCTTCTGAGAGGATTTTCCACGGGGAAACTGTCTCCTATTTAGGTGTTACAAAAGTGAAGAATCCCAGAAAACTCCCACATTAGTCAAGAGTGAACCCACAACCAATTCAGAGATTTTATCCACTCGACCACTTCAAGATAATGGCACTTGCATGATAATGGTCTGGTTCGTTAGTATACAAAAAGTGCCACGGTATTTAATCGCTTGATTATTTTACCTTTTGACTATATTTGTTTTGTAAAGAAAAATTGCAAATGAAAAACACGTTTAATAACATTGAAGACATTCAAAATCTCGACTGACTTCTCAGAGCTCTCCTTGAAAAAGGTTTTCAGTAATACTTTAAAAATACAGGGTGTATCAAAAAGAATGACCTGATTTTAAAACTTTATATTTATTGATAGAAACATACTACAAAACAGGGACAAAATGCAAAATACTCACAAAATCTTAAAGTTTCAGCTATGTTATTACAAATACTCTATGTGTCCACCAGTAGCCGTACGGACAACATCTAGACAATAGCTAAATTCGTCATACACTCTATGTTTAGCGGCCGGATGGCCGAGCGGTCAAGGTAGCAGCCTACCGCTCTGGAGGACCCGGGCTCGAATTCGAATGGGTCGAATAATCCCCAGGAATTTTTCGGGGTGGTCTGTTCGGATATGTCGGACACCGTCCCTCACCACTCGACAGCCCCATTGTAAGCCTGGCCGAACCCATAATGGGCTTGCAAAAAGAGGCTCTCTTAGTGCCCACAGGGCGGAACACTAGCGTAGCGTAGTAGGGGCGGCCCGCCCGGGCGTCACTTTTTAGGGGGCGGCAAAATTCCACAATAAATAATAATAATATCTCGTAAGAATTTGAACCATTTTATTTCATATTTTCGTCCACCTACGACTCGGACCGATTGAAATGAGCACGGAATAGTGTTACCATCCATCCGAATAGTCCGGGAATCGACTCGCCGTCCGAGGATATCGTGCGCAACCTGTCGACCTTTTTTTTTTTTCTTTTTGCTTGTACGATTTATTAGTATATATATACACCTCCAATATTCAATACAGCTAAGTCACTTGCGTTACTCCTATCCAAGTCTCTCTAGTCGCTAACTGTAACTAATTTAGAACCAGCATGCACTGCACATTATTCTTCGCATTGCAAAATGACATACGCATGCGTCAGGAACTTCTATTCGAACAAACCTTTCCTACCGTCCGGATCAGCGATTTTAATAAGATGGCAACACTAGCACGGAATTTTTCATTACTTATTCTGTGACGAAACTGAATTTTAGTCTTTTAAACTGAGATACCTAAATAAGGGGGGGCGAAATTTTCCTCCGTCCGGGCGGCTGACACCCACGCTACGCCACAGGGGCGGAAAGAGTTAAAAAAAACACTATGTAAGATATCTATGTTGACAGAAGTCATAACAGCTCTTATTCTGTTTTTTAGCTCATCTATATCACGAACTAAAGGGGAATGGAAATTCTTTCCCACAAGAAAAAATCGCATGAGATCATGCCTGGAGATCTTGGAGGCCAAGAATGTAGGGCATGTGTGTTTGTCTTGGGGTCCCGTGCGTTGAGGTAGTGTGTCATTGAGAAATTTCATATGTTGTGCCAGTGTGGGTGCTCTGTCCTGTTGGAATATAAAATCATTAGAGTCCTCTTTAAGTTGTAGAAAAAGCTAAGTCTGCAGCATTTAGCTATCATCCCGATGTTGTCCGTGTAGCTACTGGTGGACACACAGAGTATTTGTAATAACATAGCTGTAATTTTAAGAGTTTGTGAGTATTTTGCATTTTGTCCCTGTTTTGTAGTATGTTTCTATTAATAAATATAAAGTTTTAAAATCAGTAATTATTGCCATCTTGTATAACTAATTCTTTGTTTATCATCGGCCATCATTTACTCTCTCTGATTTCATTCTATATGCATCAATTTGGCTATTTTTGGTAGATAATCTACGTGTATTGCAGAAACTAAAAAATCCAAAGAATTTGTTAAATTTAATTAATTTATTTACAGATTACAAGTGGTATTTTGTTACTAACATTATTGAATGGTTCGCATTGCTAATATTTAGCTTTCTTTTGTACGTTGCACTCGAACTGGTATGTATAGTTATGTGTTTGTCTTGTATATTTATAAATTTAATATTAATGAAAACTTGAATAATATTGAATTTTTCAAAATTTTAAACTTGAATTTCATTGATCAACGCGAGGCATAGCCTTATAAGTTGTATGGCTGTTGCAATTACATGACAGTCCATACAAGTCGAATAGAGTCTATGGCGGGTTGATAGTCATCTCGCCCTCCGTTGTAGATAAATTTCACTGAATATCTGGCAGAGTCTCACAGCACAAAATAGAAAATAAATTGTATTTTTTTCGGAATTAAAAAAAAATACTTTAGTATAAAGAAGTGGCATGAGGGAAAATTGGGGAGGAAAGTCAGTCTTCTTGACTGGCACTTCGTATGAACTATAGGTATCAGCAGGGCCGACCCGTTCATATAGGCGAACTAGGCGATGGCCTAGGGAGCTTGAATTCGAGGGGAGGCATGGCGAAAGTACATGCATAAATTACAATAAATAATGAAAAAATAAATGTTTTTTGATCATAATCCTTTCTCACGTGTTGACCCGTGAGTCGCTATTTTCTTTCACACGATCGCGATATTACGTGCTGCATGTTGAATAAAAACAATATAACAATATAAAACACCAATGTAAAATAGATACTCTATTTTTCATTGGTGTTTTATATTGTTGCGATTTTTTTTTTAAATGGGGCAACGTCAAAGTCATTTGCCTAGAGCGCTGACTTTGCTCCGGCCGGTAATGGGTATCAGCCATAGAAATCAGTCGGAAAAATCAGCTTCCATATCCCAATGATAAGGTTCTGGGCCGACCCACAATGGGGTCAAGCAGCATGAATAAGAAATAAGGAGTAATGTCCCAACTCACATTACCCATAAATTATGGTATGTGGATCGGATTTGAATCCGAATCACCAAAATAAACGAAACAATAGATTTATTAATATCATCATAATAATCAATAAAAGTCTCATTCAAGTGATCAGAAGAATTCATACTAAATCTCCTAGAATATTGAAATTTTGATATTTGGAATAGAATTTAATATATTAATTTATTTTGAAAAATTTGTTCTATTTCTTAATTTTAATCAGTATTTTTTCAGGAAAATTATAAATTAATGATGCCTTGGATGGTATGGATTTGGGTTAAAATGATTAGAACTATATTAGTTACATTTATTTCTCTGATAGTTGTACATTCTTCTCATCTTTTCGTAAGTTATTTTTTTAGAATTAAATAATTATTCATTATTAACTAATTATTACTTGTGTAAACGAATTCAAAATATTAAATGTTTTTAAGAATGGTTTCATTATCTTCCAGATTACGGTTCTTCAAAGTATATTAACACTTATCTTCTGTACTACAGGGGTAAGCATTCAACCAACCACTCGTTGCACAAATTCATTACATTATTTCGATGTAACTTTCTCCATAAAAATAGAAAAGTATTTCAAATTATCTTAACTTTGCCTGAATTTATCTAAAATTAATAATTGATAAATTGATAAAGTTGGATCTAAAAATATAATTTTTAAGTTATAGATTATACAACTTTATTAAATTAGTATTATTAATTAATAGTGTCTATTAAATAACCGTTGTACTTTGATTTATATTGTATTCAAGAGGATGATGATATTCTTTAGTGTTATGTATCTAATGACACTAATGGACTGATGGGGATGTGCCAAGGGGGTTGTTTGCCGGGAGGATTTTCAATGGAAAACTGACCCCTATTTAGGTATCAAACACTTGAAAAAAGTCTGGGAAACTTCACGTGGCAAGCCCATTCGTTAGGCGCGAATTGTCAGTGTTCAGTGATTTTATCCATTCAACCACTGATCGTGTTCCGTGTTCTTTGATGAACACAGAAAAAAATGAATGACTTAACAGACGTTTTAATCGATAATTCATTTTCAGTTGTATTTTTTTATTTGCGTCTACAATCACTACATAATTCTAAAAGCGAGAGAACTACTACTAATACCTGAACGAATCTCAACTAATTCTATAGATATATCCAAAGAGAATTCTTATCTTTCTTACGATATCGATGTCTCACACCAAGTTCGTGATACTAAACCAAACATTCCTGAAGATATTTCTGGTGAAAATCATTTGTCTGCTTAGAGTAATTATAATGAAAGATGTAAAAAATATATAATTATTATTATATTGTAATAAATCTAGAAGACATTCAATATAATGTAAAATGTCGATTTTTATTTAATTACTTTAGTACAAAAAATAATTTAATAAAATATATAATACGGCGTCTGTAATGACAGTACATTTTTCAATCATAGTGAAAAAAAAAATTCATCCAATTTCTAGTAATGTGTTATAATACTTTTTCTTTTTAACCTTTACCGCCCTTTGGGCACTTTTAGCAAGCCCATTATGGATTTGATCAGTCCCACAATGGGGCGACTGGGTAGGGAGAGACAGCGCCCGATATATCCGGACGGACTACCCCCGAAAAATTCACGGGGATTTTTCGACCCGGTCGGATTCCATTCCGGGTCTCCCAGAGCTGTAGGTTGCCACCTAGACCGCTCGGCCATCCGGCCGTCTGTTATAGTACGGTATAACTTATTTCTTTAATTACGTAGTGTGTTTAATTATTATTTTTAAAGTTATCCTTCGAGAGAGCTATACTATGTTCCTGTTGTACGAATAACAATTTGTACTACATTTTTAAATTAGATTTTAGAATTTTTTATGAAAAAGTCAGTTTCATCAGTTGCAAAAATATGAAATAATTATTAATTATTGAAGCTAATTTTACTGATATATAGCAACACATGCCAATGCCAAGGTGGAGAAATTGTGCAAAGGTGGTGTTCAGCCTCGGTTTTGAGTACGACCTCTCCCCTCGAAGTTTCTTCATTAAGATCATAAATTCATGAAAATGTATGAAAATTTTCTAAACCAAGGTCATTCAAATGTATCGTACTATATTGCTTGAATAGTCTGATTCATTCTGCACACTAAATTGACTCATTGATCGGTTTAGTCCACAATACATTAGTCCATAACAAACACCCAAAGAAATTTCATTTTAATTAATGCTGTTAAATTTCTCTCCTGTCATTACCTATGTGTGTAACAATGATTTGTGCTATATAAACTTTTGTATTTGTATTGTGTAGCAACGCTTCGTGTCATATAACCATTGTATTATTTTTTATAATAAATAAACGGCCATGACCTGGCGTCTTTTATCAAGCCCGCCACTTTTTGGTTCGATATGACTTGAAACGGATCAAAGTAGTCGTGTATGATTTTTTAAACTTGTAAGGTAATGTAACCTACTCACTATCTTTGAACACATAACTTGCAACAGTGATATATTTAACAGGTTATGGGCCCNATTTGTGTTATATAAACTTTTGTATTTGTATTGTGTAGCAACGCTTCGTGTCATATAACCATTGTATTATTTTTTATAATAAATAAACGGCCATGACCTGGCGTCTTTTATCAAGCCCGCCACTTTTTGGTTCGATATGACTTGAAACGGATCAAAGTAGTCGTGTATGATTTTTTAAACTTGTAAGGTATCCTACTCACTATCTTTGAACACATAACTTGCAACAGTGATATATTTAACAAATGCATATTTTCTTGTGAAGTGTACTGTGTTATGAAAGCAGAATGAACGTTTTCCGTGCCATTTAAAACAATGGAAAAAAGCACAAAATAAGAGAAATTTCAAAATTTAAATGCATACAAATAAACTCAGTTATATAAATTAATTAATTACTTTGCATTTATTATGTAGAATGGTAATTCAATATTCACTGAGGCATTAAAAGCTCATTTTGCACTCTAATAATAACGGTATGCAAGATCTTTACGCAATTTATTAAATATATTGATGACAATGTATTATGGTTTTTTTAAAATACTTTTGTGCACTTGTCCAAAATTGTAGCCTGTCTGCAAATTGAAACCTTGGGCTCTACCTGAACCTAGTAATTTTACAAGTTAGAAGTTAAAAGTTGGTGTGCTAAATCTGAAAAACATATCCATTTATTGTTGTTATATAAAGAATTTTTGTAAAATTGCCATAACCATATTATACAATTGCATGTAGAATACGCAAATTTTATTAGAAATAAATATTTTGAACCTACCAATTTTGAATCTAAACTTTAAAATATAACACAGACTACATAAAATGTTAAAAGTAATACAACATCCAAACAGTTCACAATCAGTGGTTTATCCAGGATTCTGAGAATACGGGTGCCGCTCGTAGCAGATTCCAGGGTACTGAGGCACGTGTCCCACATCGATGCTACTCAATTACCTTAGAATTAGGTTGCCAAATTGAAATCATGTGAAATGTGTTATTTAATGTAACAAAACTGATTACTTTGGTATGAATGGGATGCTGCAGCACCGTAAGCACCCATCTGGATATGCCGTTGTTCACAATTCACTATTTATGTTCCTTATGCAGTATCATCTTTTCAGATTCAATCATCTTTTGATTATATACGTAAAATTTCACTGCAATTTAAAGCAATACATTACAAAAAGCAAAAATTTTATTTTTGCTTTTATAATGCATTGCTTTGTTTTTAATAAACATTTGGCTAATTAATACATTTTGATTATCCTTAGTTATAACGTTACACTGAAAAGCAGAAAATAAAATTGAGATTTTTATTTCAAGCAATTATCTACATTAATACAGTAATACTCCGAACTTACGCGATAGGTGAGACCGAGCAATAACCGCGTAAGTCGAATTCGCGTAAATCGGGGTATAATTTCGCAATTTGTGTAAAACCCAAGTCGGATGTATTTAAGCTAATAAATGTTCTCGTTAATCTTATCTCGTCTTTTGATTCGTTCACGGTTACAAGAAATCACCACAGTCTCTCGAGTCTCCGTAGATATAACAAACACAGAAATAAATAACGCAAAATAAATTAGCTACGCGTCGATTCCGCGCGACACGTCCGAACATGTAAGCCGAACAATAGTGTGGGGGGAGTGAGTAATCGAGAGTTGCGTGGCGTTCAAACAAAAGACGAATCGACGATATTTGAAAATCGCGTAACTCCGGGTTCGCGTAAACCGGGGTAGCGTAACTCGGGGTATTACTGTATTATAAAGAGGTAAAGTTTGTAAGTTTGGATGTAGGGGGTAATCTCCGAAACTACTCATCCATTTCAAAAATTCTTTCACCAATATTTAGAATGGAACTTCAAGGTGGACATAGGCTGTTTATTATTCCATTCAACAGTCATATAAATTAAGATATCATCTAGGGTTAAGACTTTTATGTCCAACAGATGGCGCTACGATACGACGACCTAAGTTTGCTTTTCTGTGAGGCATTATTCTTTTCTGTGAGGATGAACTAAAGCAGATCATCTTCTATCTATCTGTATAAATAAAAATGTAATGTTCGTTTGTTCCTACCGATTTTTTTGAAATTTTGACACTACATTGTATTCGAATACGCACGTGTTTTTATATAATATACATGTCGAAATTCCCCCCACTGGGGGGNAAATGTAATGTTCGTTTGTTCCTACCGATTTTTTTGAAATTTTGACACTACATTGTATTCGAATACGCACGTGTTTTTATATAATATACATGTCGAAATTCCCCCCACTGGGGGGAGATGGTTAGGATTAACGCTTACCGTAAAGAACTCTGCTTCTATTATACTAGTATTTTAGATGCGTTTTTGATTGCGTTTTAATAGGGTACGTCAAGAGAATATACACTAAGAAGGGATTTTTCGAAAAATCTCCCACGGGGGAAGTGTTATACATTTATAATAGATACATTTTGAGCCACAACGCGTGATGGGGTCTGCTAGTAATGTATAATTTCAATAGTAGATTTTCATGTAATGCATGAAAATCTATGTATCTATACGTTCTTATCAGAATTTTCAGATGCAGAATGCAGATTGCAAGTGATATGAGTTATGCGAGTGATAGATTTTCATGTAATGCATGAAAATCTATGTATCTATACGTTCTTATCAGAATTTTCAGATGCAGAATGCAGATTGCAAGTGATATGAGTTATGCGAGTGATAGATTTTCATGTAATGCATGAAAATCTATGTATCTATACGTTCTTATCAGAATTTTCAGATGCAGAATGCAGATTGCAAGTGATATGAGTTATGCGAGTGATAGATTTTCATGTAATGCATGAAAATCTATCACTCGCATAACTCATATCACTTGCAATCTGCATGTCATAAAATCTTGATCACATTTCTTCAATAATGTCATAAAATTGTTAATTATACTTCTTTCAGGATAATTGTGATTACACACAATACAAGATTTATTAATTAACAAAACAATATTCCAGAATCAATAGGAGTTCTACCGTGTTTCCCCGAAAATAAGACATCCGCATAAAATAAGACCTAGCACAGATTTTGCTGAATTGCGAAATATAAGACCTTCCCCTGAAAGTAAGACCTATCGAAGTTTTTTTTAGTTGTAACGGTCATCGACAGATGGTTGAAAGTGGCCGTTGGCTTTTTGAAAGTACAGCCACTGATTGGTCAGCAGACAATTATGCCACACGGCATGATTTGCATAAGGCTATGGCTTGGGAATCACACATTTGCATAACGTTACGGCTGGTGATGGCTAATTGGTCGGCCGGGAATCANGCAGGAGACTAACTAAAAGCTATTAAATAAAATCAATGTAAATTTTCATATTTCAATAAAATTAATGTTTTTATGTAATTTTAAATTTTTAAAATAAGATATAATGATATTTACATAGAAAAATTTGTCAGTTTTAAAAATTCAACCATAAGAATCTCTAGAAAAGTTGCCGATGTTACCGGTTCTCGAATACAGCGAATGGTACAAAATGAAAGAGTAGATCAGAATGTCAAGGCGAAGAAATATTAAACGAGTGGCAAATATCTAGGAATGACGATTTTTATACTACGGGATATCGTCTATCATTCCATATGCTTAAATTTCATTAAAGTAAGAAAATAATTCAATATTAACTGATCAATCGAGATGGTCAAATAGTCAGGCAATAAAGATATCAGTCTATTTGTTATATATCGGGCTTCCCATTATGGGCCTGATCAAATTAATAATTATCTTTATGAAGGTCTTCTAGTGCCCACAAAATAGAAAGTGCTTTAAAAAGAACTAATCAATTGTTAGGAAGAGACATGTCACATGCGATGCTGTAATTGAGAAATATCAAGACAGGTGTTTGTTAAATACAGTAATACCCCGAACTTACGCGATAGGTGGGACCGAGCGATAACCGCGTAAGTCGAATTCGCGTAAGTCCGGGTATAATTTCGCAATTTGTGTAAAATCCAAGTCGGATGTATGTAAGCTAATAAATGTTCTCGTTAATCTTATCTCGTCTTTTGATTCGTTCACGGTTACAAGAAATCACCACATAGAGTCTCTCGAGTCTCCGTAGATATAACAAACACAGAAATAAATAACGCAAAATAAATTGTAGCTATGCGTCGATTCCGCGCGACACGTCCGAACATGTAAGCCGAACAATAGTGTGGAGGGAATGAGTAATCGAGAGTTGCGTGGCGTTCAAACAAAAGACGAATCCACGATATTTGAAAATCGCGTAACTCCGGGTTCGCGTAAGTCGGGGTATTACTGTATTATAAAGAGGTAAAGTTTGTAAGTTTGGATGTAGGGGGTAATCTCCGAAACTACTCATCCGATTTCAAAAATTCTTTCACCAATATTTAGAATGGAACTTCAAGGTGGACATAGGCTGTTTATTATTCCGTTCAACAGTCATATAAATTAAGATATCATTTAGGGTTAAGACTTTTATGTCCAACAGATGGCGCTACGAGTACGACGACCTAAGTTTGCTTTTCTGTGAGGATGAACTAAAGCAGATCATCTTCTATCTATCTGTATAAATAAAAATGTAATGTTCGTTTGTTCCTACCGATTTTTTGAAATTTTGACACTACACTGTATTCGAATATGCACGTGTTTTTATATAACATACATGTCGAAATTCCCCCCACTGGGGGGAGATGGTTAGGATTAAGGCTTACCGTAAAGAACTCTGCTTCTATTATACTACTTTAGATGCGGTTTTTTGCGTTTTTGATTGCGTTTTAATAGGGTACGTCAAGAGAATATACACTAAGAAGGGATTTTTCGAAAAATCCCCCATGGGGGAAGTGTTATACATTTATAATAGATATATTTTGAGCCACAACAACGCATGATGGGGTCTGCTAGTAATGTATAATTTCAATAGTAGATTTTCATGTAATGCTTCACTCATATCACTTGCAATCTGCATGTCATAAAATCTTGATCACATTTCTTCAATAACGCCATAAAATTGTTAATTATACTTCTTTCAGGATAATTGTGATTACACACAATACAAGATTTATTAATTAACAAAACAATATTCCAGAATCAATAGGAGTTCTATTCTGGAAAATCATTTTGAACATACACTAATTATATGTAAACATATAAAAAAATGAAAGCTCTTATTTTATATATACAAATGATCTGATCTTGGCCAAAAATACAATACAGTCGACCCATTATAACACTGTTGATTATTCCGTTTTATATGAATTCCATGTTGTACGAGTCACTTAGATATTATAAATATGTGAGCCGTTCAGAGTCCAGCACACATATTTGTAAAATCTAAGTGACTAGTACAACATGGAATTCATATAAAACGGANATGTTCTTATCAGAATTTTCATATAATTTCTAATTTATTTTTATGTGAAGAGAACATAAAGATATTTTTTAGTGTAGAAAATAATATGATCCATATTTTCTATTGCCTGAGATGACAATGTGATATACCTCCAACATGAAATTGTTCCAATTAAATAATAATTATACATAACTTATAAACAATTGTATATTTATTCACATTTCATTAAATACAGAAATACTTTCATTTACAAACTCTTGCATGTTTAATATTAAGGAATCATAATTCCAGTCCACGTATCACAATCAAACTGTTGCTCTAGAAGTCTAAACTGTCTGGAACATGAATTCCTTTCATTTGTCATCCCCAACTCATTATAGACCAAAGCCTAAAAGTAAAATTTTTAATAAATAAAATGTAATTTATATTATTGCATAAAGAAAACTTTTAAAAACAAACCTGCCAGTATATAGCATCTTTCATTCGATGAAAGGCTTCTATTTTATGGAAATAATCGATCGATTTACTTATCATCTGAATGGACGACAATAATGCTGAAATAATATAAAATTATTATAGTTATAAATTAAATATAATATTTTATAGTAATAATAATAACAATGTATACATCAAGAGAAAACAACTATTTTAAATGGTAGCCCACAAAATGTTTCTAAGGTACGAGTGAGCCAAATTTTTTAAGCTTTCAAAAATTTATAGGATTTACACTATTGGATACTGGAACTTTGTAAATAACTTTTTCAGAACCTTTTTATCTAGTAAGGTACAATATTTAGATGCAAGAACAAACGTTTTCAATACTCTATCGAGTTCTACCTCAGGTTCGATATTGCTATGTTATCCCAACTTTGGAATGACCAGAGTTCAAATTTTAAACTGCTAATTAATTCAAGTGTTCGAATTATTTAATGCCAAATATTTGGCTATTTGTGTCATTCTCCGTTATATAGGCCCAGGACCCTCATATTAATGTTTTCATCCAAAATTCTGTAAATAAGATGTCACTACTATTGGGGATCCTTCTCATAAGCATATTGCCGTGCATATGCATACAAGAGTAGGTGCACCACAGCACTGGCAACATATGCATCAGACCCGAATGAACATGTGGACTTAGGGAATGCTACTCTTATAAAATAGTCATTCTAAACTGATCACATAAGGACACTGGAAAATCTAGAAATCTAAAGCCAACAGAACAGGAAACTGCATAAACTACAAGGATAACAACACAATATCACATATGTGGCAATATGCTTATGAGAAGAAACTATCCTCTCTTGCTTTATTTTTCCCCTTCACCCACTACCTTCTACTACTTAACCTTGTACTCTCTCCTCTGCTAGGAAATACCTTTGAGTGGTCCTGGCATTTCAGTCCTATTAATGCTACAGTAATATGCTTATGAGAAGGATCCCCAATAATAGTGATATCTTATTTACAGAATTTCAGATGAAAACATTAATATGAGGTTGCTGGGCCTATACAACAAAGAATGACACAAATAGCCAAATTATTTGGTATTAAATAATTCAAACACTTGAATAATTAATTCAAGTTAGCTATTAGTTTAAAATTTGCTGGCAGTTTAAAATTTGAACTCTGGGCATTCCAAAGTTGGAACAACATCGCAATATCGAACCTGAAGCAGAACTCGATAGTGTCGGAAACGTTTGTTTTTGCATCAAAATATCATAGCTAACTGGATAAAAAGGTTCTGAAAGGGTAATTTATAGGATTATTAAAAATTATTAAAATGGAAGACAATGAAAACTGTCATAAACCATCTTATGTTATTCATTATAATATTTATTCATAGTCATATAATTGATTTTATTAATAAGAAAAATGATATATAAATTTAAAATATCTTTATCTTTATGCAGTGCACATCAGACGGTTTGCAGTGAACCGATATCCTTACACTTGCAGCCAATTCTGCTGTAATTTGCACTGCTGTAGTTTTGTTTTCTCCTTACAATTTGACAAAGTGCTCTTCTGTCCGTTGCATCCAGCTTTCACTTTCTACCACAGCTGCTTCTGTCAGATGTTTTGTGTGTCTTTGCATACTGAGATGTGATCAAGGAAACAGTAGATCTCACTAAACTCGTCAACTCAGGTCAGAGAAGCCTCTACTAGGCATGCACCAACAATCATTCCCCTTTGGAAGTCTGTTAGGTCTAACATAATCACACTCCAAAAGCAGGCAAATAGCTTTTTTTCAACAGCAAAAGTAATGAAGTTTATCAACAGGGATATACACCACAAAAATGAGGAAAAAACAGTGATACCTGTGATTGCACCCTGCAGACAGAGTCCAAACTTCTTGTTTATCATGCTAAAAAGAAAATGTATAAAATAAATATGGCATGAAGCAACATAAATGCAAACAATCTATGTCTCAAGTGAGACTGAAACACACACACTAGTATCTTAATCACTATCAGACCAAGGAGTTCAAACTTTGACTCTGATGCCCATATAAAAACAACAGAATTTAATTAAATTGGGAAAACAGAACAGTTTAATGAAAGAAAATAATTGCATTTTGCAGTTAAAATTCCTAAATGTCAGAATGGATATCATAACAAATATGAGCTCAGGTTTCAAAGTTCTGTCAACATCTCCCAGTCACAGTTGAGATACAATGTCGAGTTGAACACTGAATATCGACCTTTCTTGTAACCCCATCCAATCTTATTTCCAACTGGAAACAAAGGAGGGAACCAATTGGAAAGTGATGAGATAGAATTAGAGGAAAAATTCTTTAAAAATCCTGAATTTTAAGGACAAAATGGATTTCTCCCTCCCAACTTCACAAGGTGACTCTGTTCATTTCTTTATCTCTGTGCTTGTGATATTGCTGTCTCTGAAATACCATCATCCTTGTCACTCTGCCACCTTCATTGTCATTCATCCTCTGACTAACCATCACTGTTTTACCTCCAGACTTGTTCACAACATTACCCCAGGGTTACTGAATTGTAGAGGGACCATTACCAATGATAACATCTTTGGGCTCTTTAGATTGTCAACCGAGAATGAGCTCCATTGTAAGACTATGTAGCCATCATTTCTCCCAATAAATGAGTTTCATTTGTAAAGGTGCTTCATCTCAGTATGTCAACCATCAGCCACATACAATCCCTTATCCTTTGTTCCTCTTGACTTGAGTCTAATCAACCTAGCCCATTTCTCCCATCAGCATCCTCATATATTTTAGCGTAAAATACATACTATATCATTATTACATTTTGCTAAATATTGAAAATATATATATATAGCAAAAGAAATAATTATATTAATAATTAATAATATAAAGAAATAATTATAATTGAAGCAGAGCATTAGCAAAGATTCTTCTATGAGGCTTACAGAATTGTGTTCATTCTCAAAATCAGTTTGATAAATTTTGATTAAACTTTGCCATTTTCCATTAATTGTGATGCAGAATCAAAACATGCAATAAAAAAAATGGGAGTCCATGACTTTGTTTGAGATATAAGGTCTTTTCATGAGTATGCATGACAAAGCAATGTTGTGCAATGTTTCACGATCTATAGCATGTTTTGTATGGTCTTATAGAATAGAGTTCATTCTCAAAATTTAATGGATCAATTCTGATAAAATTTTGCCATTTTCCATTAATTGAGATGAGGAATCCAGAAATGTAATGTGGGTCCATTTAAATGTAAAAAATCCAGCAATAATCAATTAACTTTCACAGCAACATTTAAAATTCTGGTGGCATTATCTGTTAAGATATTTCATTAAAAAAACTTTACATTTTTAATTATTATAAAATGGCAAAAAGCTTAATTTTGAGGGTAGGGATGGATTTTATAAAAAAACTGTAAAAACTAATAATGAGTAAAATCATCANTAATTGAAGCAGAGCATTAGCGAAGATTCTTCTATGAGGCTTACAGAATTGTGTTCATTCTCAAAATCCGTTTGATCAATTTTGATTAAACTTTGCCATTTTCCATTAATTGTGATGCAGAATCAAAACATGCAATAAAAAAATGGGAGTCCATGACTTTGAGATATAAGGTCTTTTCATGAGTATGCATAACAAAGCAATGTTGTGCAATGTTTCACGATCTCTAGCATGTTTTGTATGGTCTTATAGAATAGAGTTCATTCTCAAAATTTAATGGATCGATTCTGATAAAATTTTGCCATTTTCCATTAATTGAGATGAGGAATCCAGAAATGTAATGTGGGTCCATTTAAATGTAAAAAATCCAGCAATAAATCACTTAACTTTCTCAGCAACATTTAAAATTCTGGTGGCATTATCTGTTAAGATATTTCATTAAAAAAACTTTACATTTTTAATTATTATAAAATGGCAAAAAGCTTAATTTTGAGGGTAGGGATGGATTTTATAAAAAACTGTAAAAACTAATAATGAGTAAAATCGTCATTAGTCCAACTCCACTCGAGATATGACACATGCCCACCCTTTATCTCCCCATCCTGTTGACCTTAATTCACCAAAATTTAACAGCATGAATCTTTCTAATACACAAACCTTACTGAAAAATTTCAGAAATTTTCAAAAGACAAACATTATTAAGCTTCAAAGAGGGAAAAACACATGCACCTTAACATCCATATATACAGAAAATATCTCTGAATGTTTTTTTATTTCTTGGCATTTCAAGGTCCCCTAAGTCCAAAAATCTCAGGATGTAAATTTAAACTTTTTGACCAATCACCATACCTGGTTATCTATACCACAGCCAGGAAAGTAAAAATAAGAGTCCATGACTTCGTTTTCAATATACAAAGGTATTACAGTGACAATGTCAATGCTCTCTGATGTGATGAGCACACCTAATGAAATTTAGGCCTAGAGATCAAAACTAAAAAACAGTATTATGTGCACCTAACAGAAAATAGATGCAAAAAACAAACAAAACACAAGAACAAAGCAATTGCCATCGATTGCTTTTTTTCTTGAATCATCTCTCCCTACCAGGCCAGTGCAAGAATTGCACCTCCCATGGCCTGCAGGTATACAGATAGGCTCTTGTGGCAGCAAGTGCAAAGTTCATCCGTTCGCATATATCAGGTACTATACAAGGATTGCCTCTTCTGTGCCTAACAGGTGCAGGGATTGCTTCTTTCCTTCCAACTCTGCCTCAATTCTATCATGTTGCATAATATCCTAGTTAATTATATATACGTAGGATGATTTGCAGCTAAATATAAGTAATCCATAAATAACTGTTAAGTTAAAACAAAAAATTTTAAAATAAAATATCCACTAACATGTATAAATTAATATTTAAATGGATCCATAAATTCTACTGTAGCAAAAAATATATTATGAAATTTTTACCTTCTTTCTTAGATTCAAGAGAATCAAACTTTGTACAAGCTAGAAGACACTTGGCATAGAGTAAGTAGGCTCGTGCTTTATCGTACAGAGAACATTGGGCAAGTAAATTTATAAAGATCTGATCCAATAAATGAAGTGCCTGATGTGGTAGATTCAACATAAACTATAAAAACAGAAAAATATTATATATATTAAAGAAGTATTTTTATTCAAATATAAACATCCAATAACCTGATTTTTTAGTTTAATGCTAAACAATTATTGTATGTAATCCAGCAATCATTTGGCTTTGAAGTATATGCCGTTATTTTTAATTATAAAAATTTTTTACTTTTAAAAAAGCCAGATGACTGATTGGTTAAGGTGGCACCCTACCACTATGGGAACCCATGATCAAGTCCAGATGAGTCTAAAATCCCTGGAATTTTTCAGGTGGTGATCAGTCTGGATACATCTAATTCCGTCCCTCACCACCCAACCATCCCATTGCAGGCTTTGTCAAACACATTATAGGCTCAGTAAAATTGTGCTCTTACAGTGTGCAGCAGAATTATATGCCAGTGTAAATTTTTTTTTAAATCTCTCGAATTATCTAGAGTACATGGATAAATTTTTACATAATTATTTAAAGTTCTCTTCTAATGATTTACACCAGATATCATCCTGATCAATTAATCCAAACATTAATTACGCATTTCAGTAGTATCCACAGAATGGTTAAAAAAGTTTTTAAAAATGTTTTCTCCATGTAACACAGTCAATAAAATAAAATCAGCATTTATGATTGAAATTTAATAATAGTGTCATTATTTGAATTTCATTAAAACCTTCAGAGTTTTATAATAATAATAATAATAAAACTCTGAAGATTCTTAATAGAATTTGCTAATTGTAATTATAGATATTGTTGTCAGTCATTTAATACTGTCGGAATTAGAAAGTTCCAAAACATTTAAATTAAAATTCATTATAAAAACTTACTGTAATCAGGTTTTGCTTATATTTATCGTTTTAACATTGGTTAAACAGGCATTCTTAAGCTGCATTTTTATGCTATCAGCCTCAACATATGATTGATAATACCAAAACATTTTCAGTTATTATCATCAGCATTATCAGTGTTTTAAATATTAACCATTTTAGTTATTATTTTTTGCAGTAAAGTAGTTTAAATTGTTGACATTTCTTACTTTAATTATAAGCTAGCTATTGTTAAAGACTGTATTAAAAAATCCAACAGGCAAACAATATTGGATGAATTACATTAATTAACAATTATTATTATAATTGATAAATCTTCAATTTGTACATTTTATAATTGTTTTAACATGTCATTTTAATGTCAGAGTCAATAAAATCCAAATTTCTACTAACTTGAGTCTTATTTATTTGGTTCTTTCAAATGAAATATAGACTGCAGTGGCAATACTGACAATATTGAGGAAGAGTAGGACACCACTGTACAGGTAGAGGGGTGCACTTCCAAACAAGTGAGCAAGTTGTTCAGTGTCAAGTATACCACATCTGTAAATCCTTACAATATACTGCACAGTAAATCACATACTGTACTTGCATTGGATGTATGAGTCTATGTTTCATTTGAAGAAACCAAATAGTTATCAATTTAATAATATCATTCCATTACTGCTAACAGCATAGGCAAATCCTGAAGTGATTACAATACGTGGATTCTACTACATTGATATAAATCAATTTCCAGAATCCAAAAAAATTGTACAGTATAAGAATATCACATCTTTCTTACTACTATAGCAATATATATAAAATAAATGTAATGCAATGATGATTCACATATAACATGTTAAATTTTCAGATCTCGTCAGCAGCATACATCAGATTTACCCTACTTAAGTAAAAATAAATCTCATATAAAATTAAATGTTAATGAAAACATAGCAAGAATCATTTACCTGAACTCCTGAGAGATACAGGATTGTTAATAATTTATAAGACATTAAATGATGGTCTTTGCAAATGGATAAGCATTTCATCAGAGAAGGTATTGCTGATGCATAGCTTGATGACTGAATAAATAATTCAGCTTCCAATAACAGAATTCTAATTTTATAAAGTGAAAAAAAAACTGATTAATAATTTCAAATACCTATCAATAAAATTTTTGCATAAAGAAATAAATAAAATTCCATTTACCTAGCAAGAAAATAAGCAGGAGGACCATACTTTTCTTTACACTTTCCCAACAATTTTTTTACTAATGTATGAGATTCTGTTTTATTACCTTGATATATAAGTAAAAGTGCTTTCCTAGTTAAAAATAAATCAATTAAATTCTGTCACAATAAATATAGTATATCATTACTTAATCATCACTAACCAAATTATCATTTAATTCTACATTAGAAGATTCATATTCATGCATTTTACATATTTGCAGTTTGGTATTTGCAACTACACGTATACCTCACCTTACGTTGGTAATTGGTTCCAGGAGAGATGACGTAAGTCGAATTTACTTGTCTCCGAATCTACTTGTCACTAGGCTAAACCATAAATTATCATTCCCAGTTCTGTATTTTATTTATTAATGCATTTTTAATAATATATGGTTAATAAGGATCTATTTTAAGCTTACAAACAGATAGATTTTAGTTTTTAATATAGTACAGAAAAAGTAATCTAAATTTATGAATGCATGTACTGTAAATACAGTACATACTTGTAAATGTATATATTTTAATATGATTTTATGTGCTTTAAACGCTTTTCTAGTGATATTACGACTTCAATATTTGTGGCGGACAGACGTAAAGTCGAATAAAATGACTTAAACTTGATTTTTATTTTTCCATATACTTTTTTGACAAACGACATATAATCGGGAATGACGTAACTCGAAATGACGTAAGTCAACGTATACCTGTATTTATTCATAATTGCAAAGATAAAAGTAATTTATTTATAGGATTAACAAAAATAATGATGATAAGGGATAAAAAACAATTAAATGACTTTTAATGTTTTTACCTTAAACATATTTTGGTACAAAATTTTGTTGTTGACAATTAGACAATGCTAGTGGATATACTATAGTGTGAATGTCACTATTATGTCTTTCTTGCTAATTTTAGTTATTAGTTGTTTTTTTTCTTTTAGCCTTACAAGTATCAGCAATTATATCTAAACAAAGACTCTTGTGTCAAATTATCAAAACAATCAAAGAACATGATGTCTCTTTAAGATAAAAAGTGTTAGATCATTTGCAAAGTGAAAATTCAGCAGTTATACACACAGCTGCTGAATTTTATGCACTGATTATACAAGTAGCTATAAACATTGTTGCTTGTATATGGGTGCTTCAAAAAGTTTGTGGAAAAAGTTTGTAACTAAAAATTGTTTGGAAGGATTTTGATTTCAATGCACCTGAACATTCTTGTACCAACATGTTATAACATGTTCAAACATGAACCCTTAAATGCAGGTAAGAATGCAGTGCCATCAGTTGAAAGTCAAGTACCATTCAAGCAACATGGAATCCACCAAAATTGAGACTAGAACAAAGTTCATGGTGAAACTTGGTTGGGAGAATAGGCAAATCATTGATGCTCAGAAACAAATTTATGGTGATAATGCTCCAAAGAAGTCAACAACCTACAAATGGATAAGTTGCTGAAAGGTACCAATTTTCCATCAGTTGAAGATGTAAAAAGAACTGCTCTGGCATGGTTCAGATCACAAGACCCTCAAGTTCTACTCAGTTGAACTTAAAGGCTGGTATCAATGTTTGCAGAAGTGTATTGACCTTAACACATTCATGGTGTCCAGTGGCGGCCTTAGGGGGTGGCGAGCAGGGCAATCGCCCGGGGCCTCGCTTTTGGAGGGGCCTTGCGCAACAACCAAGTAGAAAAAAGTTGATATTTAAAACTTTTTATTTTATCCTTGGTTATTAGTTATAACAATAAAATAAATTTAATTTATAGTACAGTATATATTAATATTAATAAGTGCCTACTATTTCAATTCACATACTTTGCACAAAGGACAAGGGCCTCGCAAAGATCTGCCGCCCAGGGCCTCGCAATGGATAAGGCCGCCGCTGCCCCGTGGTGAGTATTTGCACTGTTTTCCTGAATTGTCACTGTACCAAATTTGGTTGCTTTTCGACTGTTAAATAACTACCAACACAACATTAAGGAGGGATACTTTAATTATCATCACCCAATACATTACTCCAAATCATCTATTAAAACTAATCAAGATGTCATCTACAAATAACAAACTTTTTGCAGTTCACTGATTTGTCATTTATTCTATTTAATTGAATAATTTTCAAACTATGTCAAGCAATCGTTTAGATAGCTAAACAACGAATTAAAGCGATCGTTTATTAAATATTTATTTAGAAATGTACAATATTCATCGACAATTTAATTCATTAACAGAAAAGATATCTATCAACAATGTCATTGTAAATTTTGAAAGTTATTTAATTTAATTTGGAAGCTTCGTACATCACATTTGCATTCACAGTATGAAATGCAACATAATTAAACAGATAATAATTATATTATATATTATTCTGTAATTTAATTCAAATAAAAAATACACTTAAATTATTTTTCTAATAGTTTTAAAACAATTTTCTGTAGGTTTCATTAAATAAAAGTTTCTTTTTGGATGAATGATGATACCTTTAGTGTATGTGATATAACGGTATTTTCTCTATTACATAAACTTTTTCAGGTTCAATAATTTTTGATTTAACTATAAAAATAGTAATAAAAAGTATTAAGATGAAAATATCCACGTTTTATATAGATCAGTGTCAAAGAATAATATGTTCACCGGGGAACAGAAAAATGAAATTTTTTTTTTCTCTTGATATATGACGTCGTTGCTTGCAACGTTTACACTGGAGTTAAATATAAAGGCATTACAAAATAACGAATGACGTCACGTCTTTCTCTGTACAGAATCAGACTTTAGTGTCTTAGGGATAATGCAAAATGCTTTGTTATACAGTAGAGCGTCGATTATCCGAATCAATTGGGGACTGGGGTTGTTCGGAAGATCGGTGTTTCGGATAACCGATTATGTACGAAAAAATATATTAATTTATCCCATCTTGACATTTTTCTCCGTTGCGTGTCGCTTCGCGTTGAATTTTCGTCGATGTTAAGCCTAACAAAGACCATTGTATCGTTAAAAATAATTTTTTATTTTGTACAAAACAAAATAAATATATTGAAAAATATAAAAATAATAAAAAATTATACTTTAGATGTTAATTTAGTATCAAAAACGTAAAATATTTGAGTAGCCC